AATTTGTCTACTCTTAATACGTACACACGTGTTGCAGATACTTATCTATTAACGAGATCCTGGTCGCACGAGAGTTCCACGTTTATCTGTGATAAATAGCTTTCAAAATATAACTAGAAACATGTAATTTAATCGTCCTGAGATCTCAAGATCGAACAGACTCGCGTTTAAAGTCACTTAGACTGGCATCAATTTTCATCAATTTTCAATTACTGTCGTTTTATTAATACAAACTAATAATAGCTACCTTTATCGGTATCTTCCAACTGTATCACACATTTTGCGTGAAATAAGATCAGAAGGCAAAATTAGGTTAAAGAGGGCCTCGTTTAAGATATATGTTATAACTGTGCAATAATTTAAAAGCAGCCAAATACGTATGGCCGTACATTAACAGCCGTCTACCGAGGAAAAAATACTGCCACCTTCTATAGCCAGAACGTTGTTACAATCTTGATATCGCTGGTACCGTGGTATTGTAATTTCGTGACGTTGAAGCATCGTTACATTGTGACGTTTCGACTTATATCACCGGAATGATGTAAAGTCTTTATTAATTCAGGGGCTTGAAGTTTTCGAATATTTCTCCGCGTCTAGGCGAGCAGACTCGTACGACCGGAGCATTAATCGCGGAAGGGCTCGTTTGAATTTATGAAGCCGCGTAAATAACGTTTTAACAATGCCGACCCAATTATGCAAATTGGCAGTGCTCACGATCCGTTCTCGGAGCAGTTAATTACGCGGATCGATGGCAATCTGTCAAGCCTTGTGACTGGGAACGCGCGAGCCATTTTACTCGTTACTTACAAAAAAAAAAAAAAAAAAGAAAAGAAATAAAAAGCAACCGACGTGACGCGGCGTAACGCGAGGAAGAAAAAAAGCCGCATTAACCAGCGGACCTGTCCGCGTCGCTAGAAACATTCGGATCTAGACTTCTAAACAATGGTTCCACGTCGTCAGAACTTCGTCGTTTCTACCGTTAATTGGAGCACGGCGAGTTAACTAAAAATTATTTTTAGGTCAAGACTGAGTCGTGTTTAACTATCGATTTGAAAAAAGCAAAAAAAAGAAGGTGAGAAAGAGAAGGGAAAAAATGGTCGATGTTATCGCCATCGTCTTGGCGTCAACCAGCCGAAACAATCCATTAAAATATTCCATCTGGAACCAAATTCGGCCACGTTTTACAGTCGTCGTCGTCGTCGTTCTCCTTTGGTCGTTCTATTTTTCTTTTTTTTTTTTTTTTTTTTTTTCGACGTTATTAGTGGAAACGTTCGTCGCGTTATCGATTGGATAGCTGTTTAGAGAGAAGGGGAAATTGATTTTGGCGAAAACAGAAGGAACGCTCGGTCAAACGGTGATTTTCTGGTAGACAAGCCGAAACGAGAAATCGCCGTGTCATTATTTCACGGTTCTTGCTATTTTACTCTGTTTGCCATTCATTGGTGAACGAAGCTCGATTAAAAGGAGAACGCGAGATAGCTTGTTCTTTTTGCCGCGAAGAATCATTGTCGGAATGAGACAAAAGCACGGCCGATAAATGGCTCGTGATATTCCGTTCTTGATGCAGCTTTGTGCACGGCTGATCCGTTTTTCGACGGCCGATCGCTTTGTATTTTCTCTTTGTATTTTCGCATTGGTTCAATAAAATGCATTAAGCGCGTTACGAACGGAGCGCGACGTATGGAAGTTTTAATTTCGTTACAGGACACGTCGCTGCTTTCAGATTTTCCCGCCTGTTTCTATATTATTCCCTCTACGATGCAAATTTCCCCACCTTTCCCGGACAACCTGCTTATATTCAGCGCTGTACCCGGATCAGGAAAGCCAAGTACCATTCCATTAGAAATTAAAAGTCGTACGCGATTTTATTGCATACTGTACCCCAAATACCGAGTCAAGATTTTTCCCCTTTACTTGTGCTTTTATGCCATTACATTTTTACGTCTTTGTACTTTTATATCGATACCATACAAGAAATTCTGATTTTCCGAAGACCGATAACTCTAGGAAACCATTGAACATTTATTCCGTCGTTTAAGAGATTTAGGGTTCTTCTTGCTGGCTTTCTCTTATGCGTTGTCCGATTCAGAGTACTTCACAAAGCCTATCGGGCTATCACTGTTTAAAATCCGCGAAAATTCTCGTGTATATCATTCAAGAGTCAAGGTACACGCCATATCAGAGATTGGCGTTTGCTTGGCAGAGGTCAACTCGTTTTCAAATCGATCACCACCGCCCTTGCAAATTCGACAAATATTTGGATACCCAATTTGTCTCGTGCGAAATGTCTGGCGACAATTTTTTGGACAAGTCGTCACCCACTTTCTTATGTTCCTTTCAAACAACTCACTTCTCGATTGTCAAAGTTCCCTCGTCTTGTTCAACCTTCGAACAGACATTCTCTACCATTCATATACCTTCATACCGCGATGGTGATTGCAGTTAGATTTTCACCTTGACCCAACTGACCTTACAGTTAGATTTTCACGTCCATTTTCAAATTCCTTGCACGCCACTTCACCGACGCAATCTTCGTTTTCCCCAATATTAGCGTGTCTGACAACAAATCTTTTCTTCAAGCGCACTCCAAGCGCTACTTTCGAAAAAGTCGTGATATCAAAGAGCTGTTTGATAAGATGGAAAACACGGATCTAGTTGCGCGCGTTTGCCTATGCAGTACGTAAAATACAATTTTCTAAATTCTGTAACACTGTCGAAATCCAGCGTAAGTTTAAGTACTTGTTCCAACAAAATAATATAAAGGAAACTCGGAGTTATTTCGACGACGATACAAACTATTACAAACTCGCAGTGTATCCCGTGTAATTGTTGTATTAAAGTTTAAATGTTCCGTGTTAATCGGCGAGAGTCTCGTTCATCTAAAATTACTATCCTTACCGTCTTAACGGGTCGTAGGGAACTTTAGCGCGAAACTTCGTCGATAGAAATTGTAACGGAGATTTACGACCTCCGTCGACTACGTCACACTGCGGACTTGTCTCGTCGCGGCGCGTTAAACAGCGCTTAAAATAATATTATTCTTTGTACGCGCCGTTGCTTTCTTTTCCATAAATTTTTATTTACGTACCAAACTACGTAGAGTTCCAGAGGAACATGCTATGACGATCTTTTTTTTTTTTTTTTTAAATTCCTCTTCTTTATTCGCGCACCAATCTTATTATTTATAGCGTTTTCGCGCAATTTGCAATGCTTGTTTTACCAGCATTCGCTCGATCTATTTACTCGTTCCACTTATTCCTTCACATTCGTTCTCCTCGCTTTCACCAATGTTCCAGCGGATATTTGTCCAATGCATGTGACCTGTGTAGTCACCTTGGTAGTAGTAACACACAGTGTTTTACGTATTTTGGTGCGTGTTGATTTTGACCTGATATTTTTCAACAGTTACAGTCGGCAACCAACTATTTTTGTGTATTCTGTGTTTTCTATATCGTTTTTCCTCGTCTACCGTACTGCATCAAGCATCATTCTCAATAATTTCGATCGTGCAGTTTTAATTTCCTCTCGTAGCTGTACTACAGATATCCACATTGATTTAATCATCGTTGTGTCATCAGATATCGTCATTTTATTTATCTTCGGTTTTGATTTCCCGTTGATTAATCGATACAGTTTCTAATATATCCAGTACAGTTCCTAAGCGTTTCGTTTCTTTTGTCTATGGTACGATTATTTGCTTTTTTATATTGGATCACCCTATATGTATAAGTCGTTGGTTTACGTATTACCAGATGAAAATAAAAAATTACCTGCTAATTGGCAATCGATCAATGATGGATTTTCTTCTATTTTTTTTTTTTTTTTTCATAATTCGCTGTCTTTTTCTGCGTAGTTTTCTATTGCAATTTTTTTCAAACTCCGATTGTATACAACTACTCGCATTGTTTTGTATTTTACTCTGAGAAAAATCGTTTTACTTATGGGATGATCCACGTACGTACACCGCGCAATTATTCTTGCCGATTTAACGCGAAACATATATTTGTACTTTTCTATGGATTAATTGTAATTTTCTTCCGTATCGTCGATCAATGCAGTAGCCTTACTTTACGCGTTAAATTTCGTACTGTAGCGGAATCGGTGCCGATGTCGAGAACTATGGGATCTTCTGCAGGGAATTTTTAAATTGCGTGTTTCAGAACTATGGAATTATGTTCAAAGAAGAAAAAAAACCATCGAATTCTTTATTTCTTTAGATGATCATGAATACGCATGATACGTGTCTATGTTTCGTTTTATAAGGAAATAATAGACGCACGATGTTTTTTGTTTTATATCAGTTTATCGAATTATGCACGAACATAATAATAGAAATAGAACGAAATGGATCATACCTAATTCAAGAAAATAATATAAAACAGAAATTGTTGTTCACCTATTATCACCTTATGAAACGAGAGAAGCTTTTCAGACAATCTACTTGCGATACGATCTACTGATTGTTTCCCCGATTCCCGCTAATTCAGAAAATAACAGGACACGGTTGGAACAAGTTTGCCGGAAGTGGACCTCGACGATGAATTATGCACGCGCGTGGACGTCATTGGCATTGGCTGAGGGCCGGGGGAACTTGCGAAACTCGAAATTGATCGATATAGATCCGAGCGACGAAGCCGTACGTTTAAAAAGAAACAATTATAACTGTGATCCTAAACTTTGCTCTCGATACAAGATATTCTACTTAGTTCTGATGCAATTAGAGTCTGTTCTCCTTCAGTCAACGTTATCTTGTACGGTGTTTCTCTTGATTCGATAGTTTCTTGAAAACTGAAAGAACATTCCTCCGTAGATCGACAGAGAACGGAAGAACGGTCCGAATCGGTCGTAACGTTTTACTGGCTGACTCGAGTGTTCGTGATAAGAATAAAAATGAAGAGAAACGAAGCGAGGAAGAGTGACGATTATCCAGAAATCGTTCGACTTGGATGAGGAGGCGGCTACGTGAATGGATCGCGGGTACAGCATATAAAAACGATGCAGGCCAAAAAATAAAGATTTTATTCATTCACGTACCTACATCACGTACAGAATAAGATCAATTAAATTCACTTCAACTATATAATATGTATATTTCTGTTGATGTTCTTCCTCAATGTTTATGCACAAGTTTCGAACTCTCTGATCTCTACGTATCTAGAGTATCTACACGTCTTTTATCATTTCTTTTTTTCATATACTTTTTTTTTTTTGTTTTTTGATTTCTATATGATATTCTTCCCTTTTCTATCCTCTCGTTTAACCTGCGCGTCGCCTTCCTTCGCGTTCGCAAGGTCGGAAATCCTAAAATTCTTCGGGCAAACGTTTATGTGCAGTGCGGCGAGCACCGGCCAAGTTGACATTAGATTACGACGTCGTTATATAGTACAGCGCGTGCATGTTTCCTGTGGATAATTCGCTCGTTGTTAATTAACAGCTGTGCCTTCCACGTCGGTTAACTCTTTCGATTAGTCTCATTCTACGATCGTTACTGAATTACACGTTTCTTAAATAAAACAAGAGGCTCCTTTATATACGAGCACACACAGAGATCGTGTAAATATATAGAACGTTTCTCGAGGAAGACTCTGTGGCGAGATTGGGAGCCCAACCTCGTGGCCACGTTCGCGAAAACGCGTGAAAACGTGAATGCACGCAATCCCAATCGCGCCATCGAGTCTTCCTTCTCATTGATATACATACGTAGATCTGAAACAATCTTACAATTATCCTCTAGCCGACAAGAGGCGTCGGTGTCATTAATAGTAACGAAACTTGCAAGAGTTTCCTCGATTGGTAATCAATCGTCGGCCGATCATATAATACTGATGGATGTCCCTGGCGACGAGACTCTTTTGTTTTTCCCTCGTAAAGTCACGAAACGTCTGCCGATCTGGAGGGAGCATTTGGTGGATACGCCCTAGCGAAATAATCTCTTGTTCGTCTTACAAAAAGCACGTGGAATAATGGAGAAATCACAACACAGTATCAGCGAGTACATAAGCAAACCGGCCAATCGCCTCTTAAAAAGTAGAACACCGTTTCATTTGGAACGTTCTCAGAGAAATACAATCGAACGCGATATAATAAATTAATAAGAGCGTGCGACAAAGTGGATCGATTGCGTGCTTCGAATCAAACTGGTCCATGCGTGCGAACGTCGAACCGGCATTGTGTTCTTCTGCTTCTACGTATCGTTAAGAATTTTCTATACTAACGAGAAAGTCTCGAATTTCGACTCGCTACTGATATATATTTATATAATGTATCTCTTTCCGCGGTCGTTCCTCGCGCGGTTGTTCCTCGTCTGGTGAATTATCGATAAATTTTGTAAAAAATTATCCTTATTATCGGAAGTACGCTGTGCGTCGTGTGAAGGATTCGACACTCGTGGATATGTAAGTTCAAGGGTGAATAAGTTACAGATAAGTACGCTTCGCGCGAATACTTGTTAGAGACAGAAATGTCTGACGATCGGAATAGGAAATTTGTAGATGTAGTAACATCTGAAGCGCGCTAAAATCTTACCGATAAAAAGAACAGTCTGACCGGGGTCGTTCATAAAAAAATTAGATCCAAGAAACGAAATGTTACGTAACCCTCTGTTCAAAGTTCTGCATGTAGATCGATTAATTTAAAGCTTGAGTCGCTTAATCGGTGTAATGTTTCGTTTCTTGAGAAATTCGTGTATATATAGTCGAAGATCTAACAATCTACGATTAGATATATCATCGAAAATATTCGTATCGTTCGAGAAACTTTCGAAATGCTTCTGAAATGCTTTCGAAAAAATCTTACAGGGAAAATCGCAAACGTTGACACGCGTGGACCGTCATTGTTCCTGTCTGCTCGTTTCCATGTTTCGTAATCCCTCCCAACTCGACACGCGCTAAAACACAGTTACGAATTCAATGGTTAATTGGTAATAAATGGATACGGACGGGCTCGTCGAGTTGCGAGGTCAATTCCGAATGATTATTGTTCCCAATTGAGACTCTTTGGCATAGCGTTCTTAAATTTGAGGATACCTTTCGTACATCGATACTGTTCGATATTTTGTTCAATATCTTGTTCAATATTCTGTTTGATAGTTTGCTCGATATTTTGTTCGATATTCAATGCTTCTTTGCGTTAGCGAAAGGACATGCCTCGTGGAATGAAACTGAAATCGTCGGTTTCCCTAGCCGTCGAACTTCGTTTAGTCTCCTCGAATGCTCACGCAGCAGTGATTACTCGGAAAATGAACAGTAAACGTAATTTAGATAGATGTCAACTTCGTAATTTCTAGATTAGTTTTTAACGTTGAACGAATCATGTCAAATAAGATATTGACGAGAGATCATCGAAAGAATTCGAACACGATATGGATAAACGCGCATGTTGTTCGCCTCTAATAAATACTCTAATAAATAATCACAAAGATAAAACAACGATGATAAGTAGCACGACGCAAAATTATTCAGACATAAATAATACACGATATCACAACGATATCACAACAAGAGAAATTACTCAGGCATAAATAATACACGATATCACAGGGATGTTCGCAAGAAACTTAACTGTTCAAACATAAAATTCGAACGTAACTTGCCGATATCAGAGATCAGAATTGTCCATATACGAAGCTTCTTCATACAAGTAACCAACGAACGATTAAGAAAAGACAGCGTGGTTGCGCTCGAATTTTGTTTCATCGCCTGTACAAATGAGATCCTTAAACAATAAGACTAGTCGCGTGAACATCTCTCGATATGAACGTATCTAGGGTCCTCAGGATCGTCGTTACATGGCTGACGATCGCTCCTCGTGAGCCTTTTTCACGATCGCCAATTTCGAGTGAGGATCCGCTGCCGGAAGCCCAGTGTAAGGGGGCTCTCTGGTGCCATGCAGCATCAGGGTCCATTCTTTGAACCAACCGTGTTGCGGAGTTTGAGTATTGAAGCTCACCTGAAAGAAATTTAGCTTTATCGACTGTTTAAAATATATTAACGTTTCTAATTTCATTACCATTAATTAACTGAAACTTATTAACTGAAATTTTCATTTCGATACCTCCAACAACCAACTGCCTTGAGGATACTCTCCCCAGGTGTGAGTCGTCATGAAAGGCCATTTCGTAAAGCCATCTCTGTGATCGTCGTCGTTTATCCTTCGGCTAAGGATCATCGATCTGAAATCGGTCTCTCCGTTAACTGTGACGTTTCAGTTGAAAATCTTAGAACCATCTTAGGACAAAACGACCAACAGCCTGCGCTAAACTGGTCGACGTACCTGGTCCCCATGGGAGAAGTTAGAAACAACTCCAGATCACCTCGGCGTGTGGCGTTCACGGAAATGACGGCCTGCACGTGTTCCAGATAGTTGACAGCGTACTCGGTACCGGCGCAGGCATCAGTCTTTATTTTCAACAGAATCGATCGATCGCTTGTCACTTCCCTGAAAAGGAAATTGACGGGCGTTCGTCGTCGAACTAGCGAAGGAGCTTAAACGCTACAGCAAATTCCTTGGGAAAAGGTTATCGAGGGAAACGTGTCCCGATCAGAAACGTCGATGCAAGGAAAACGCGTTAAGCAGAAAAATAACATTAATCGCGTGTAGACTAAAGCAGACAGGGTGTAGCAGAATGTAACGCGCTACAGGAGGAAATCGAGGAGGCCAAAATCGATACCTCGGTCATCCACGAATCATAATTTAGTAAGCGTTCACTGTTCGATCTACATGGTGTTTGACTCTCGAGCAGAGAAATAGAAAAGGACAAGGCATTCCTCCCCTCTTAGTTACGAACCCCTAAGGCGGAATCGATAGCAGCACGAAAATACTCACTGACTTTCGAGCACCGAACCAGCCTCGCAGTGATACCGTGGCGGCACAGTTTTCCAATTTTTCGCCAAAGCGACCATCGCTCCAGCATCTAATACACCGTAACCGAAAAGATGATTGAATTCGAGACCAACTCCATTCATCGTCCAATGGAATCTTCCCTTGGCATCGAACAGCGAATTCCTCTTCGACGTTAGGACCGTCAAGTGTTGCACGTCACGCCAGGTCAACTGCGGACTGAAATTAGAATCAATGGTTCATTGTATGCTTCTCTTTTACATAATTATATTCGATTCTATGAAATTTATTAAAAACTCTTTGATCTTCCATCGACAAATTCGTGACACTAATACGCTTGTGGAAATTGAACAAAAGAAAATCACACGTTCGATCAAATACGAATAAGTTGAACTGACTTGGTCCGATTAATTATCGAGCGCGCTGTCGTGCGAAATTCTTTGGAACTCGTTCAGTAAAAATGTCTGTACCGAGTTTAGAGGCAGGAAGGGAAACATTTTCGGTACGTTTGCCGAGGAACCAACCATTTGCAAAGGAATCGATATTTGCCGGTATCAGTGGACGATCAAAGGAACTGCAACAAGAAAACACAGGGCTCAGAAAACACGCGAGCATCGAAGAGACAGCGTGGTGCATTAAACCTCGGCCTTTCAACGTCACATCCTCTGTTACTAGGTCACGTTTCACCGACTGTGTTCGACGAAACACGGAGCCCCCATTAGCGCAGCTTTTGCTCTCCGTAAGCTGCTGCTCTGTTTTTCAATTTTCACGATTCCCAACGACCAGCGCACGGTTTGAATCGCGGCCCAATTACCCCTTTGAATAAGTTGAAATTTATCCTCGCTGTCGTTTCCAACGATCGTTTCTCGAAATTATCGCGATTCATTCATACCTACAGGTACATTCTCACCTGCAATATTTCGAACCATTCCTTTCCTTTTAGTTGCTCCTATCGACCCGTGATTTTTCAGTAGAACGGATCAACGATATCTGGTCCCAAAATTTTCAAGAAATACGATACAATAAGATCTAAGTCTAAATCTCGTACGTGGAAGCGTGCGATAGCTATAATTCTGTAGAAAATTCTCTAGAGATCTGTAGTAGGGCGATTACATCAATTTTTATCGTTCGCGATGCTAAATATTTCATATCAAACGCGATACCTACGCAGCGTCGTTTACGTCACAATTTGCAATATCGTTCGTTACTGAACGAACGATAAAACTGTAAGCTGCACCGTATTTCAGGCAGATGGTACTTGCCGCTTTTTAGTGCTTTCGGATCACTCTCACGCTGATGCGGCTACAAAAAGTCTGAAAGCGTATAGCGTGATAATTTGCAATTGAATGGCTCTCTTCTAAATTGCAGTTTATTACGGGTGTTGCAGTGCAACGATAATATCATGAAACTATCGTGCCTTTAGAAATAATAAAATATTCCTTAAATTATCTTATCTTTCTTCATTTCTTTAAATCATTTCATTTCTTGCCGCGTTTTATACAATATCGATTTCACCTCAAGTATCAGAACCAACTTCTCTTATCTATAATCGATTTCCGTTTTTACCGTACTTTTTCCTCTCTGTTTTATACTTTTAGTTTTGCAATTTACTTCTGTTTTTCTTTCATTCTCTTTTACTATACCTTTTACCTCCTCCATCGTTGTTTGACATCGGTTCTTCTTTTTTTTCTTTTTTACCCTTCCATGCTTTCCTTTGCATCACGCCCTTTTACCACCTTTTTCCTATCTCTTTTTACTCGACGCACTTTTTATCTCTCTTCTGCCGTTTAACCTTCATATTTCGTTCCACCCTTTTCCTGTTCTCTTTCCTTTGCCATAAATTTCCTGTTATATTTTTTACAGATCATTCACGTCGAGTATTTTCGATCTCTCGCGCGACTGCACGACAGTCGAACCTTAACGCGAGTTAGAATCAGGGTACAAATTATAATAATATTATTTATTATATATAATATATAATATTATAGTAATATTAATATTATTTATTTTTTTCGTACTTGGTCGCTCCTCGTGCTTTCGAAATGAAATATGACGTACATCATAATTTATTCGTATGTTGCGTAGCAATTTTGCCGTCTGCTTGCGAATTCTCTCTATACGCGTATAACAGAGTCACAATGGTAGATACAAATTAACGTTATTGCTAATTATCTACCCACGTCACCATTGATGGAGAAGTATCTTCGGTATTTAACACCCATGGGTCAGCGCTCGCGTCGATGGCTATCGAAATTGCTAATTCACATCGCTTTATCGTCGATATTCGTGTAAAATTTATTTGCTCGACAGCGCGGTTAATCATTCATTTACCCTATTTCCCTTTAATAGAAAAACGAGTATCGCGAAAATACCGAGCCCGTATCGTTCTCGTTTAACCGTAAGCGTCTATCTATTTCCGTTCGCCAGCGAAATTTGAATATGCAAATTAAACGTTAAATATAAACGAGCAGAAAATGTTTTGCAATTAAGTTTCGATCAATAATTCTATATTTATTCCTAAAACATCGATCGAGCTTACAAATTACTGTAAGTAGTAAAGTACAAACTCGAGAATGCTCGAGAATTGAATCGTGAAATCATCGAGAAAACGCTAATTACCAAAAATCAATGTCTCGTTATAAACACTTGCACAAATTACACGTTACAAACGTCGAGATCATTGCAGGTTCTTTTATTCGTAATTTTCTGACTGAATTACTTAATATCAAAGATAAGGAAAAAGTGTGCGACTAATTTCCAACAGCAATGTATATGCGTCTTTCAAAACTTACATCACAAGATTGCTAATGAACGAATTTCCTTCCGATTAAAAGCAAGTTATCTGGTTGTACTAGTTGCAAGCTTGTTGCAAGCTCTGCAAGATACGTGTCATCGAGCAGTTGCGATCCCATGTAGAACTTTCATCTTGCAGACATACTATTCCATTTAAGTAAGTTTCTTACTTTTCTAACCGAACCGTGGGTGCCATAATACGTAGGATCATAAGGTTCCTACTACTATTTATTCGATAGATATGAAAATACATGAAAATTTTTAACGACTTTTAGAAATAGCTTATTCGTTATGAACTAGTTGGAGTTAAGTTTCGAATGTTCCTTCGACTGCGAGTGGTTAACTGTAAACGTTTCAATAAGCATCAGGAGACAAAGATAAAAGAAGATTTGGAAATTTGTTCAACAGGTTAAGTTGCGACTGCGACGAAAAGTTTCGTCAATGTCTTAAAAAATCGACAGACGAAATAAGTGCCAACTTAGTAGGATTCGGATATTTCACCCTATTAAGAACGCAATGCTTCCGAGTGGATTATCCTATCGTGGACTGCATAGAAAGATCCTGGTTGTAAGTGTAATTACCGTTCGACACTGACGAATGATTTTTTTCTCGTGAATTTCAGCGAAAAAAGAACTTTCCATTCTCTTGCACGATAATTTATGAAATAGTAGAATCAATGGAACAGAGAGAGTTACAATTTATACATTATCGATCTCATGCTGAATCGTGCAATTGCAAATCGAATATAAGGGCAATCGAATAACTTATAGATTTCATTATTAAAACTATTTTGTCATCGATCTCGTTACTGTCACACGAGCATTTATTATGCAGGGTGGTTGGTAACTGGCGGTACAAGCGGAAAGGGGGTGATTCTATGCGAAAAAAGAAGTCGAAAATATAGAATAAAAATTTCTCGTTTGAGGCTTTGTTTTCGAAAAAATCGTCTTTGAATTTTCGCTCGGTACGCGTGCGGTACGTTATAACGGATCTTACTGTAGATCGTTGTCTCGATGGAAAAATTTAATTCCTTTTTCGCGTAGAATCACCCCCTTTCCGCTTGTACCAACCACCCTATCATATCACTGTAAGAATATATAATACACAGGACAATCTGTGGCGAGAGGAGATCAAAGAATTCTTCGACATAATATTAAAATTGACTGGAGCGCTTACTTGGCTTCGAGGGCAAGTGCAAACACTCCCGCAGCCTCGGGTGCAGCGGCTGAGGTTCCGCTGTGCGTCGTCGTGCATTTACCGTAAAGGTCAGTGGTGGCCTGGAAAAAAGAAAAGGAAAATATATCGTCTAAATGCAATTGCAAGTCAGTAACCTCTCTCTCTCTCTCTCTCTCTCTCTCTCTTTATCTCATTTACCGGCTGAAATTAGAACGTACTTTAACTGTTATTTGCATTTTAATGACCCTACAGCACGTTTTAATTGTAATTAGGTTTTCAAAGCGTCCTCTGTATTCACGTAGGTAGTTTGTCATGCGCCTGTTACCCGAAAGATTTTAAGTGATGGAATTTTGAATGCTCTTTTAGCGGGTTTTCTTCTCGACGCTCGGTCCGTTGTTCGCAATGCAGCGTAATATTTTCGCGTTTCCAAGCGAGACGGAAGCACATGAGAACGTTGAATCGCGTACGAGCTAATCCGAGTATCGTACGCTGCCATTATATGGGAATAGTTTCGACTTGAAACGATCGTAAAAAGCGTGGATCGTTCGAGAAGATTGAACGTAGCAATTCGTACAGAAGGAATTAAACGTTCTATTTCCAAACGTTGTAATTTCCTCGAGTGCAATCGCGCGTGTTCCGCGTATATCGAGAAAGTTTCTATAAATATATGCGATAAAGTTGCTATAAATATCCGCCAGTAATCGTTTCAGTGAACCTCCGCTTAAGACTAAGCACGTCCTTATGTGGTGAAGTAATTCAATAATCGACCATTTCTTAATAGTGCAACCGGTTCTGGCAATTTCTTGTAAGAACTGAAATTTTATAAAACGTTTCTACAAGCGTGCGAAATACCTTCGCGAGGTGAATTGTTTAAAATACAGCGATACAATTTGGGAGGAGAAGAAGAAAAAAGTAAATGCGAAAAGAATCGAGTGGATCGAAATAAAAAAGTAATCCCTTTCTTTCACTTAGCACGCAGACGATCGGCATTGGAATAAATCTTATTTGAAAGTGGTCCTTGTAATCCGTGCCATGGACGTCCACCCCCGTTTTCTCTCCTTTATTTTCCCCTTCGCTCAACCGTGAAATTTTCGTGGAATCCCGTGGAACAGAGAGATAGTGCAGGAAATCCGAGCGGACCGTGTTCATCCATAAAGTCCCGGCTATCGAGCGCAAAAACGTTCAGGAACGAGGGCAAAATCTATTCAGGAACATGCTCGCCGCTGATATGGGTGTTGTGAACGAAACAACGTGACACGTTGTTAACAACCAGTTTATACAAGATTATCGAAAACAGAGTCTTGTTATCGTGGAACTCGCGTTTCGTCCTCGACCACGTCAGCCTAAATTTCCTTCGTTAACTTTCGTGTTTAAATATCGATTTCTCTCGAGCGTGCTTCGTGAAGTGGTTGGCAACATCAAACGGTATCTTTTATTTAACTCTTATCTGTTCACTTCTTCTGCCTCTTTCCGTGCTTTTCGTCGTTATGAAATGACGAGCTCGTTCGATTTTCCGGTTTCATAAATTCATACGATCGATACATTTCTCCATTTGATTTAGCGATATACTCGGATCCTCGAATCACACCTGTTCGCTCCTTTTGTCATTCTACGTGCCTTGTTGTTACGGGTTGACTGCTTTTCACGAGGATCGTTCTCGTTGAGTCAATAAAAGAAAGGAACCACGAATAACAACGGCAATCCTTCTTTTCACGCGAGGAAGCGTTCCATACCAGAGCATCTATCGACGATGAGCGTCCATAAAGCCGCGGTATAAAGTTTACGAGCAAATCAGAAAAGCTTTCATGAGCTAAGAACAGGAATTTCTCGTCCCCCGTTAATCCCTAGCGATGAAAACGATCTTCTCGCGAGTTACGCTTCCGCCAACAGCCTTTCTTTCAGCTGACATGTGCAGGAAGGCAAAGAAATGGTTTAATATTCCATCTTGTTTCGCATATCGACCCAACGTCTCTGGAGGATAATGTGTGTCCATGTCCTCGTATCGAATACCTATTCTCTCGTCCCAATTCCTAGAATACGTCAACTAGTCGCAAAAGCCCAAGTTGATCTATAATTTTCAAACATCCCGTAAGCAAGATATCTCAGATTGAACGAGCGCAAAGTGTCTCGACACGACTAACCATCAGACTAACCATCTAATCTCGTCTTTGCTGCACGAATAATAAGGGCAAAATTTCATTCCAGTTCGCGATCATCTTCCCTCTTCTCGTTGCTGTTCCTCGCCTCTGAAAGTGGGTAACCATCTAGGAGTTTTATACGATAGTTACTCTGGAGAGTACTTTCAAATTGTGTATACACTTAGGACTAGCTTCGAGAATTCTTACTTTAAGATAGACGATGGAAAAACTTGCACGTTTTCTTATATCTTCTATAAGCAATTCCTCGTTCGCTGAAGCGAGTGATAAAACTGTAAAACAGCACGTTCAGATGCAGTGCTCGCTTCGCGATAATCACTTTCGTCGCCAACTGGTGATAATTTTCCTCTTAAATGGATATCTACCACATAGGAAGATCCACGTAAAGTTAACAGGAAATTAAATTCAACCTTCGCACGGCCTTTACTCGCCAACGACATTTTTCCTGCTTTTTAAACGAAGACGCCTCTATTTACCAGAGGATACGTGGCGCTCCTGCTGAGCAACCGGGAGTTCTTCTATTTCCCCAGCCAGCATTTCGCCCATATTATTTCAGCAGGATGCTCCTCAATTCCCTAGACTAGCGTGATCTACTGCTGCGTTAAAAGTGGCCCACGTTAAGCACCGTAATAACGCTGGAAAAATGCAGCGCACGAGTTGAAACAGGTAATTCCCTCTGATCCTGCCATCATACATTCATAAACTTCTTATCTTAGCTTCCTTCCACTTGATAGGTAGAAGGAACCAGTCTTGTCGAGCCGTGGAATAAAATTTCGACGAGAGCCTTCTTACGATATCACTTATACCCTTTATCGTGCGCCGAGTGAACTGTAAAAGATTGACGAGCTTTCTCTTAGTGTGTGCTCACGCCTACACGATGCTCGACGGCATTTTATACCACGCTACGCGATATTATACTTCCTACCTAGATCTCTATCCCAATTTAACAGCTCCTTCTTTCAATTCGCCAGTTCGTTTTTTCGTCCATCTCGCGAGCACGAACAAGAAGGATCGTATTACGATCATCGATGGTTGTTGATATTTCGCAGCCGAAATACGATATTCGACCTCAGTCAATTTAACTATTTCTTAGAAAATCGGCTGTGACCAAGGTCCGCTTTCGTCCACATTCTTCTTCGTTTTTTTCTTCTTTGAATCTCAACATCATTCGCTGAAAGAAAGGTTCGTGCGATCGGAAGACGCAGATATATATATCGGTTGACCTGACACCGAGGTAACACGAACTGCCACTGTTATCCACTCTAATTAGAGAGTGACCTTTGTCTGGTCATTAACTAACAATCCGGTAACAAAGCAATTTTCCAAGTAGGTGCAAGTTGCACTACGTCGAGAAATAAGAATCACTGTAACTGTTTCTTCGTACAGTGAACACGACTTTCAACGCTGTTTCGTCTTGTTCGTTTGCGCGTTCATTTACTACACGAGGGAACATATTAATATAATAAATCAAGTGTGAAAATTGTAAGATATATTTGATAAGAAAATATCGAAAGAAACGCGGGAAATGTCTGCGAGAAGTTAACATGGTTCATTCGAGTCGCACGTACCAGCGGAGCAGCAAGATTCTTGGCTCGTGTTCACGAAATTAACTTATTTTTACTTGAGTCCTCGCGTATTTCCTCCGCGAAGCTGGAATTCTTTCCGCCGTGTTCCAGATACTTGCGAAATTGCGTTATCGTGACTTCGACCGCAACTCGAATAGCAAATTCCACAAACATGGCTTGTAACTTCGTGTACGATGAGGTGGCACGTTGCAAACGCTTCGCAAAAATATCGAAGATTCTAAGGAAACTTTATAACAGAAAGACTGTCGAAAATTAATCGAAAGTTTGACACACTTCGAAGGATAAATACAAACTTTCTATACAATAATCGCGCCGCTAAATTGTTTAAAAGGATATTAAACGTCGAGGAAAGAATATAAAGAAACGTCGAATTTTCTAATTTTCTACGACGAATCAACGAATTCCGATAATCCTCGAAACTCTTCAAAGTTCTCGTCTTATCCTCTGATTCTTATCCTAAGTCTATAAGGCTTTCAAAATTCATAAATATTTGGAAAGTTCGAGGCATTAACGTCGTCTAAAGACCCTCCGTAATCCCAGTTCTACACGTATTTCCCATAAGATACCCCAGTTCTATACATATTTCGCATAAAATACCCCAGTTCTATACGTATATCCCATAAAATTGTTAGAGCCCTCGAATCTCACGAATCCATTAAAAATCCCCTAATATTCGAGCAAGCTCGCAGAGTCTGTGGTACGTTTCATGCCACTTACTACTCCAATATTGGGATCCTTAGCGCCGTTGCTGAACGTCGAGGCCAAAGTACTCGAACAGCTCTCATCGTAATGAGCGTTTTGCCCGTCGTTGATGGCGCTGTTAATACTAATAGTCCACATACTCGCTGCATAGCCATCGCAATTGCAGTCGTCCTCTTCACCGCCGTCACCGGAAGCCCACACGTAAATGTTACCTAATCCTCTTCGACCCTGTGAACCAGGTATATCCAGTTTATCAAACATTAAACGTGTAAAATCTCTGTTAACTTGTAGACAATTTAAATTCTCATTTAAATTACGCTCGAGTTGTTTTGGCCAAAATTATAATGACTCGCCTCTACTACTCCTCGTTACGCGGTTAAATTTAATTCTAACGACAAGGGCATTTTACATTTAAAATTAACCGAAAAAGTCAGCGAATAAAAGTTAGTTTCATACTTCTTTTTTCTGTCTGGGGCTTGACAAATATCTTGCAAGTAAAATTGCCATACGTTCCATTTCCGCGAGAACTACGATGAAGTTTCTCGATTTATTGGAATTTAAGAGACCAGTAGTATTTCTTCTTAGAAGTATTTCTCAAATATAACGAAGATGGAAGATCGTAGCGCAGAAACACGTACACTTGGAGTTTATTTCTCGGTCGACAGCTACGTCCCCGAAGAACTTCCGCTCCCAATTGGCTGGCAGCGCGGCGTAACAACCTGTCACAAATCGAGTGTGTGACGACTGGTTGTTAAGGGGAAATTCCGAAACGAGAGACGTGGTCCCTGAAATATCCGTGAACAGAGCGGATCTTGACACTTATCGATTGATGCTTCTGTCGTTCTCAGCGAAAGATCGTCATAGGGCGGTGTAATTGGAAAATAGAAGTTGCCGAGCAATTGGAAAAGTTCGATGGAAATTAATTAAGAATCGACGAGCGTGCTTTTTAATACACGCTTCCTCGACATAGTTTGAAAACACGAGAGCAAACTAATTTGCAACAACGGGACGAGCACAACGCAAATAAACATACGAGATTCGACGAAATGAATTACTCGGCTAATTAGTAGTAGTCACGTTCACGCTACGAGTACGATAAACAGTTACGCGTCGATCGATGTTCCAGCTTCCAACGAGTCCTCGAACATCTCGTTCCGATTCTCGTAATTACATTCCAAATCTAATGATCGCCGCGAGCCATCGACAGCAATAAATACGAATGCAGCTGCTTTTCTTCGAATCTGTCTAATCCTTGCCTCTAAATTACACAGTTAAAATTATCGTGATGGAGAAAAGTGATCGTAAGCTACGTCCGTGGCTTTTACACGAATCGATTTCATTATCTCGGTAATTAAGTCTACTCGACTACGCCGTCTTTTCGATGAAAATTATCGACGCTTTCGTTCGCAATGACGTGGACACTGATTGGATTCGAAGCAATTATTGGCTACTCGTTCGTGGTTTATGGGAATTGCGGAAACTCGAACAAGTCGGGTTCTCTCGGAAAAATCGAAGCACGTCTTGCGTGTTCTCCCTTCAGAGTTCGAAACACGTACTTATTACATGCTTGACAAATCCAATTCCATCTACGACGTGTACAACACGACGTTCGTTCGAAACTTTTGGAATCTCGATAACTTTGCTTGTAAAATAAATAATTCTACCTTTATCCTGTATGCTACCCACGATAAAAAATTTAAAATCTTGATAAAGAAGTCGTGAAAAAGATGGGTACGTCGCGAGTACGTTCTGTCGAGGAAAACTTTAATTACTCGATGTTATTCACGCTATACGCGAAACTCTGACGAATAGTAGCGAACCAAAGGATGTATTCATGAGCTTTCACGCAGAACGATCGATGGAGTCGAAGGATACTTTGTTTACAGACGGCTTGAAAGCACCGTTGAGCGACTTCCGTTGACTTGACGACCGTCAGAAATTCACGGCGCAATTACAAAGTTAATTAGGACACCGTTTCTGCAAAGACGAAGTTGGCGAATTAACTTTATTACCTCTTGACCTTTCTTCCCATGGAAAAACAAATTCTCTCGGTTGAAGACGGAAGACGAAGAGAGAGAGCGAGAAAGATTTGGTAATTAAAAGAAACTTCGATAAAAGTTGCATACGAACAGCGTTCAAACTTATTATAACTCGTGAAATATTGAAAATTGCGACAGGCCGAGCAACGATAAAAATTATGCAATTAAATCGTCGTATAATATTGTTAGGAGAGTGAACAGAGGAAAGCATGATAAGTAAATTAAACATGGGAAATATAAATAGCGACAGAGGGTGGAAATGCTAAGCATCAAAAAAATATCAAGGAAAATATGAAAGCTGAAATGTCGTAACGTTTTCAGCGAAAACACGGAAACCTCTGCGACCACGGTATACGCGTATCCTGGAAATTGCCGTATGTGCCGCTGGAGTACGTGATTCGAACTACAGAGGAAGCAACTTTGATAAAAGGGAGACGCATATTCTTTACGAGAACAAATTTCACGGTGGAATTATCGTTAAATGAGAAACGTCGTAGAAACGTCTCGTAAATACTATGGCTTGCGTAAATTACATAAACCATAGCTTAAACTTACGTCATATATACTTGTAAAATGGAGAAGCACTAAAGGTTGAACTTAGTCCCTCGAGTTTTGCCCGCAAAAGATTACTAGAATTCCAGAGTAAATCTATTAGGCACTTTAAGCCGTGTGGCTGAATCAATTTCGATTCATTCAGATATTTCACGTTTATTACTTTCCAAGTTACACTTTCCTGTACTATTGTTCTGTCCAACTATATGAATGATTTTATCTCTTGTCTCTGTTTTTATAAGTACAATTATTTATTATACAGAGATAAAAGCTTTTTTAATCGACTCTTCTCTTTATTCAGTAAAATAAAATATTCACTGTGCGAGAGTTAAATCAGATTAAGCAGAAATAATATAAAATAAAAGTTGCGCGCGATACAACATTATTGAAAATATTAATAAAGCGTGTTATTGTTTTATCAATTTACAAAAAAATATGTTGGAACGGCAGATGCATCGTAAAAGCTTGTTACACAGATCAGAGGTGGAAAAAGAGTTCCTATAATTCGAGCGAAACGTTTTATCGTATAGTGATGGAAAAGAAGATTCAATTTCATAAAATTTCATAAAATTGTAGATGAGAGAAAAAGTAATAAACAATTAAAATGATTTTTGAAATTTCTTTTCGTAAATACAATGGAAGTTCAATAAAATTTAACAACGCGAATTGACTGAAAAATAAATCGCAAATGAAATATCGCAACTTTCGACACCAAAAAATAGCAACGGGTTAAATTGAATCGATTTTTGAAAAATGCAGGGATTTTGAAAATCCCTTTCGTAAATGCAATGGAAGTTCAATAAAATTTAATAACGCGAATTGACTGAAAAATAAATTGCAAATGAAATATCGCAACTTTCGACACCAAAAAATAGCAACGGATTAAATTGAATCGATTTTTTGAATTCCTTTTCGTAAATACAGTGGAAATTCCATAAAATTTAACAACGCGAATTGACTGAAAAATAAATTGCAAATGAAATATCGCAATTTTCGTACACAAACTAAAAGTTCTACTTTCGTTACAACAGTTGCAATCGAAGTAACTGTAACATGATTTTCAGCGTATTCAGCCGACAAAGAAAGTTCAGTTGGTTAACTAACGACAACAAAACACATTAACTTCACCGTGGAAACCGATCCTGGTTTAATACCATTTGCCAACGTCACGTTTTGTGTTCGAAACTAGCAACTAGATAACATTCGTCCCCACAAGATACAATATCAGAAACAGATTGCGTATCGTAGAAACGAATCACGGCAAGTTCCTCACGGGGAAGTTCCTCTGTGCCCTGCCTGAATCGCGATACGTTACTGAAATATGGATGACACGTATCGTGGGTGAAACGGCTGTCACAGTGTGTTTATCAACGTAAAAATTACATTCCGCTGTTTCCATAAAAGTTTCAAATGGGGCGCGCTAAAGTCCCCTCTCATGAGAAATCAGAACGCTATACGGTGATGGCTCGCGTAAAGATCACCACGGTTTTAACGTCAGCCGTAGAATGAAATCCAAAAGCAACTTCAAACCAACACCAAACAGTAAACGTGTCAAAACGACATCGAGCAGATCAATAATTTATTATGTTTGAACAGAATTTCATCGGTTATACCAAACGGTTTTACCGATGATGCTCGTTACCAAAATCTCATCGATAACGCAAATTTGTATATTCCATGGTGATGCGAATTCGTACAGCGATGAGCGATGTAATCACATGATGATTGCACAGCAGGAACGTAAAAGTTAAAAACAGACACGATTTATCGTTGTACTGCTTTCTTTTACTTGCTTCTACGCTCTGTGTTCCGACGATTAAAATTCCTTTAGACACCGATTTTGCAACATAAAATGACAGATTTATCGAACCAGAAACTTTTCCATATTTCTCTATGTTCTACGGTTACAGAGTTTGGAAGGTAGCGATAAATAATCGAGCAAGTTTCAAGGTACGGGGGTTAATCCCTCTCTCCCTCCCTCTCTCCCCCTCTCTCTGTCTCTCTTAGGATGCTAAGAAGATCCTATGGGTGATGTAGAAGAGGGTAAAAAACGTGATACTAATACGCACCTCGTTAACGCCACGCACGATGGCCCTCATCGTCGCATTTCGCGGCCCGTCCACGGTCTTTCCGTCGTCCGTCGGTCCCCAAGAGGCGCTATAAATGTCTATGAGGTCAGGTTCGTGTCCCATGCTGTTAGCTTCGATCAGGTCGGTCATGTAAGGCTGATCCAACATTCGGATCCCAGCGACTTTCGAGTCGTAAGCTACGCCCACGCCGCAGACGCCGTTGTCCCGGGCTGCTGCCACCTCGCCGGCGCATCTGGTTCCGTGGCTTTCAAGAAAAATAACACCTTAATTAGACCCGCCGTGTCTGCGTGACAGGGAAAATGTTTTTACTACAGATTCTCCGTGCTGGGAATCTGGGTGTCGATTATCGGATGATTAGCAGCGATTAGAGCGTGTAAATCGAATTGAAGAGACTCGATTAGTTCGTGGATCTGGATTATCAGAGTTCGTAGAAACGTTAGAGCGAGAAATTTCATAGAGGGAAAAACGAACTATCGTTTTCCTCCTTCGAATCGTCTACACGGTAGTCCTCCTTCGGTTATTCGTTGCTTGTGCAACGCTGAAGGCAATAAATTGGTAAAGAAACAAGACGGGTGAAATGAAAACAAACGATGCACGAGATTTGAAAAGTTCTTTCCCCGTTGGTTCATCGCAATCACGAATAACGTATCGCCACGAAACGGATACAATCCTCTTAAATGAGAATTTATGAGCGATCGCGTCACAAGCGTACTCGCGTCGCGAACTCAAGAACAGTCAAAGGAACGTCATAGTCGATACCTGAAAGAACGTTTAATGAAAATTTTATTGCGGCAAATTTGCCGTTGGAAAATTACCAAGAACGTTTACCGCTTAATAAGCTGCCTTTATTGCTGTGTACGTCAGGTTGAAACAGCTGCGAACTGAACAAGCGCATCTGGTACCAGAGGTACCGCAAATGGGCCACGACAAATACGATTTTATTATACAATCCGTAGCCAAGACGATCTACAATTGCCTGTGATAACACGCCGCTGGCGTTTATAACCTTTGTATTTTCTAATTAAAACAAAATTAAATGAATATTCCCTATTACATGGTATCCCTTCGATTCGAGCTATAGAGCGATATTCATTCGAATCAAATTAATTCCCATCTCAATGGTTAAACGATCATTTGTCGTGTGACGTCTTCGCCATTAAATCTCAGCCAAGCGGGTTAAATTACACCCAAAGTAATTAACGAAAGGACGAGTGGAACAGCAAGTCACGACGATCTTTGAATATACCGTGCGACTAAACTAAAAAGCGGGGAAACCGAGACACGGCTATTTATTATAGAAATTAATCAAGCAAAATTCAAATTAATAATTAATAATAATTACAGAGAACAGACAGCGTTCGTTAGAAGTTTGATGACATTCATAATTTTATCAGGCTCGTCTTCTCAAAAATTTTAAGGATGCAGTACGTTCCTTAACTTACATTCCATCTTTGATTTTCTCTTCTAAAAGTCCATCTATCGTGAACACGGGCGGAACTACCAAACGTCTGATCAAATACTCCTCGAAGCAATACCGCGTGACTATCAGTTTCGCTGACGACAAACGGATAAAGCATGCGACACGATATTGCATTGAGCAAGTGGAGACGCAAACGAAGCGTTCAGAAGACAGAAAGCGAACTGCTGAAAGCTTCGCGTGTACCACGATACAGCGGAGATATTGGGAAAGACGTGGAATCTCGCGATTCTCGAGTCCAAGTCGCGACGCAAACGTTCCAACGAATTTTATCGTTCGCTTTATCACGCCCACTCGATTCTCTTTCGTCACGTTCCTGAAAGCTTTAGAGTCCAGCTTTATTACAGCGTTCTGATTGAGCCAATAAAATCGAGTAGTGCACGTCATAAAGAGGATATGAACGACTTTGTCGCAGACGTATCAACGTCCAAATCGAGGCGATCACCGTGAAACGCCCGTCTCATTTTCCATCAAGCTTTTCACACACACACACACAGAGTAAGAACGATGAATTACGTTAAGACGGGGTCATGGTGTAATGCCACATCGGATTGACAAATTCCTCGTAGAGACGGTGCAGAAAGCGTTTTAATCAATTCCTCGTTTATTCGCTGAATAAACTCGTTTCCTTCGATTAAACGAAGAATCGAATTATAGATACGCTCGCTGAATATACGAAACGAAGCGTGATTCGTTAAATTCTTCTCTCCGTTAGGAAATTCAGTGAATCATTAATAGAGTTGTGGACGATTGTCTAGAAGTTCTTTCTTGATGAACTTGTTCCAACAGAGATCCATGTTTCTCTGTCGAAACATGCAAAGCGGAAAGGTTAAAGGGGAAAGATTCGACAGAGAGATATTTGAGAAACGAAAAATGTTTCATCTCGAAGGACGAGTACCGATGGAAAATAGGCAACTCGTACGATAAATTCCCTTACTGAGATACTTTATAAGAACGCTGGGCGAGAAACGCTTTGAGTAGAACCGTTCGCTCGTCGTTTTAGGCTTTTCACGGTATTTATTCGAGGTAGAAAGCTCTTGTCAACGGCAGGAACTCGCAGAAATTGCTGGAAAAAGATTGCGTAAGCCATCGCGGGAAATAAATGATGGGTTCATGGAAACATTTTTACGTAAGAGATACGACCGCTCGACAGCTGTGCTATGAGAATTATGGAGAATAATTCTCCAAGTGAAATTAAAATAAACAGTGAAATTGGAAAAGAAATACGTTAGTCTCCCTCGTCGAGATGTAGGAGGTTTTTGCGTCAAGCTACGCGATCAGTTTCTTTCCACCGTTTCATCGGATCCTCCTATCGACTTTAAATGTAAAACCGAAGAAAGGGCCGTTCTTTTCGATTCGCTAACTGAAAAGTCCATTTCTCGGTATCGAATAAAAAGTTTCATCGATTTGTCCCGGCTGCAACATCGATATCCTGTTCCTTGCCTTCTTCTCGGTGACCAGTGTCACCTTCGATCACCGTGGAAAAACAACATAGAGTTGAAATAAAAACTCGAAACAATTTCCCAACGTTAATAACCATCTACCCCAGCGTCCACGCTAATTGCTATCCGGTAATCATTAATTACGCGATCGTGCCGAGCTTTCGCGTTTCTCTCAAGTTATTATTAATCAAGGCCAACCCCTTTCTAATTTTGTTAGTAAAAATAGCCGGTTCTACCTTATATAGGAAATATTTAATCCTGTAAACTTCGTTAAAATTCCACTCTGTAGATTGCAGCTTCACGGTAATACGGATTTTGTATCATTTTACTCACCTATTGAACCAATCGTCGGTATATCGTGGATACGGATAAGGATCGTTACTGCTGAAGTCGTAAGAAGCTTTGGCGTTCTAAAACATACGAAGGATTTTTCTTTAGTTTCGTTGAATCTTCCAGTGAAAATGGTATCCTATTTCCTGATTACAAGGAGAATTCTAGGAATTTAAAATTGATAGAAGATCGACAACCTACGGATTTCCATCCCACGCCAATTCTTTTTTCTCATTTTAAGAAGATGAAATAAAAATACGTTACGACAGCAATTCGATTGGTAAGTATAACACGCCGGGGAATCGATATTGGTCTGAGTAGCGATATTCTTTAAGATGAAAGTTTCCTGGAGCTTTTCCAATGGATGAAAAAGTGAAGGAAATACGCTTATTTGTTCTTTCGTAACGTAACTTTTATGTGACCGCACTGCTGAAAGTTTCATCTTTGTAATTTCTATTTGTTATTTCTATTTACTTACTACTTTCTATTTACTGCGCATTCTAAAAATTACATTCTGGTGTTATCGACTGGGAATTATCCTTTTCTTACTGTCATCCATGTTGTCGATCAGATCATGACATTATTTTATTTTATCCGACTGAGAATCGAATTCTTGTTCTCCAGGTTGATAAGCAGTAGTTCTCTCAACATTGTCATTACAATGTTCTTCATGTCAGCTTTTCCTTTTACACGGCTCTTGCAAGCTATGCCACTTCTGTCATGATAAAAATATTACTAATATTTCATGGATAATCTCCTCGTTGCTCTTCATAAATATCGCGTTGTCAAGGGAATTTTTCGCGCATAAAATATCTCGCAAATTTGTACAACGATAAATCAGAATAAATCTCCGACAAAAATGACTAGACTTGTTGGCTTCATTAATTAATCGAACGCAGAACCCAGCGACATAATTTGCGCAGCATAGGAATTCATTCCTATTAATTTTACACCCCATAAATTCCTCGTATCCACAGAACGTCGATCGACTATTAATCTTCGTCTTGAAAACTGCCCCTTCGGTTCATCCCTTCGTTCTTTCCAATCCCCTCCCATGTTTCTCCTCCCGTTTCACGTCCATATCACCTCATTTTTTACCCTCTAATTGAATGCCATTGATAAAAATTCCAGAATCTTTAGATGTTTTAGTATAATGGCCCAACTTAACACTGACAAATTCATTGTCGTTCCTGTCATAAAAAGCACTCGACCAAACTTTATTAAATTCGCTCCATCGAATTCCTTCTTTCTTATCTACGAATTCATCCCTCGACGACGTTGAACGACGCGGTGAACATTGTATCAGGCTGAAATAGTAATTAGTTTGCCGGTTTTTATGCTGGAAAATTCCATCCTTTGTCATTTAACGTCCAGCCAACTTTCTCCCCTTATTGTCTCCTCCCTCATAAAGTTGACAACGAGCCTCTGTGACACGTGGGTGTTGCATTGTCTGTCCGCCTTTCAGCCTCCGATCTTTGGAAAAACCCTGAGAAACTTCACCCATTTATTATCTTTTCCCTCTTCACGTGTTCACGACATCTCTGCTGTTTTTATTCATGAAACGTTTCCACTGACTGTTTGCTTTAACTATATTCGACATCAACTCGACATCCCAGCACATAGGTTGAGCGCCCGTCGTCGCCGCGAAACAAAATAATTCTACGTCGCTGTTATCCAAAGTACATCTGCCAAGTATTTGCTGTAATTTCCGAGCGTGAATTCTTCAACTTCTCCTTCAGCATCATTCGACACACGTTATCGTCCTCTTTAACTAACCGCTTTTAACGCGCTGACTTTCTTGTTCCTGCAAGACATCAAGTAGATCTCGAGGAGCTAGCTAAGCTACGTGATCTGAATCGAACGTACCAGAGACTTCTGCACTCAGAAACTCGTGGCCAAGACAGCTCGTAAAACAGACTGTTCTTTCGCGAATAATGGAAATTATGTCCCTCCTCTGTCTTCGTTTATTCTCCGTAACACGCACGTCGTCGCCTTCGACGGACAATCTTTCAACTTGCAAGGCAACGACGTTTTTCTAGAGGCGCGTACTCGTCAGCAAATATGCTCGCTATGGATGCTTTCAAGATTTTTGTAAATGCCTCGTAATAAGACAAAGTTGTTGGAATCAGAAGGATATTTCAGTCCAGCCGAGCAATTTCGCCGGATTTCGTTGCGAATAATTTCCAAACGATCTACATTTGAAGACAGATTAACATTCGTCATTACATTTCGTGACAAACGATGAAATATATCGCGTACGTTGAAGATTCAGCGGCTCTAGCTTTCTACGAGGATAGAATCCCCACTTGTTAAAACGATAGAAGTTGATATCCTCTCGTCAGTTGTAATATATCGCCGTAGTAATAATTGCATTTTAACTAACAAATCGCAACAGCCGAAAAATAAGAACGTTCTAAACGTTCGTAATTGTCCCTGATAGATCTGAAGGTGCGTTATCCAAGTCGTGCGATACGTTTCCCTGTGATTTTCCATTGGGTCGGGTTTCATTTCCCAGGACAAAGACCGCTGCTAAAGACACCTCGTCGCGTTGATTAACGACGTTATACCGGGGAACAATGGCCGTCTGCTCGAGTAGATCCTGGGTAGGACATCAGTGCGACGACTGCCACAAAATGGACGCTCCGCGGATTTTTATCGTCGCCCGTTCGTCGTGATAAAATGGTTACGAACTCGATTTGAATTTCAACGCGTGCGATTCAGTATATGCTAATGTACCTTATGAATGTGTTGCGGTTACAATAGAACGCCACCGAGATGTGGCAGCAAACGCGTTGAAAGGAAGGTAAACAGCATGATCTCCCACGCAATTTTTCAACCTTTCAGACATCGACTTTATAACGAATTTCTACAATATGTGTTCGGAGTATTCGCTTGAACCACGGTTACGTATAATAATCACCATACTTTCTTCTTTTGCGTATAGTGATCGTACTTACGTAGTTGTATTTTAGATCCGGATGCATGTAGTCGACCCCTGGAACAAAAATAAAGAACCGACGTTTTCAAAATGGAATACGTAATCCGGTAAACCAAGGAATGGAAAGATACTAGAGATACTTGAAGATTACGCCAAGTCCATTAAAAGTTTCCGCGGGCTAATCATTCGAAGAGAGCTTTAAGCCCGAGTTCCGTGTAAAGATGAAGCTTCTCTTGCAACACGACTGACCTTTTACTTTATGATTTCATCAGCGTATTCTCCAACGTTAGATATTTACATATCACGTTTGATGGGAAAGACTGAAATACTTTAAAGTCTTATAACGCGGAGTTAGTATTCCATAGTCTTATAACGCGGGATTAAAGCTGGTTCCGCTGAACGTTAAAACTTATTAATTAATATAACTTAAGATAATAAAATAAAATATAAAATACAATTAAAATAAAATAAAACATAATTAATATATCATCGTAAACCATTCAGATTGCTTCATATTTTACCGATACTTTCATCGTAGTCGAGTCTCGATACGTTGCTAATCAAATTTCCAAATTTTTCGCGTAATCCACATGATATAGATATTCGTAGAAAAACGTGTATATTCAAGTATCGAAAAGTTTCATGAAGTACCATAGATTTAACATACACGAGATATAATTGGAGTTTCTACGACTATTGGCTCGCGAATTGATGAAATTCCTGATCGTTAATCTTCTAAATCCACGAAACAACGCTTTATTCGCCGAATATTATACAATTCACTTTATTCGAACAGATTACCGGAAGATTAGAGCGAAATGATCGAAGTCAACCAAATAATGGAGCAATTTGTTTATCTAAAGTATCAACGAGTTTCGTGCGGCGTTAAACTCGTAATATTGCGTGGTCGACAACGCTAACGGCGGGATATTATCGCTATGTTTGCCGAACGATGACTGTCGGGCGAAATCGATAGAACCGAGGTAAAGCCGTAAAAGGCTAAAATCTTTAACAAGCTGTATCACGAGATATCGCAGATTACAGTTTAACAGAGACGATATCGAGGCTCTGGACTTAATAAACGATCGAGATTGGCCATCAGTTACACGCCTTTCTATCAGGAACTATCGATTGCTATTTACAGAATGGGAATTCTTCGTTAATAGCGAAAAATCCTCTTTCTTCAGAAACAGCAACAAAATACTCGAGCATTTCTAATTTCGAGATATATTCAATTCTTATGAAACATTTAAATAAAATATTCTCTCTACTACTGTAACGTCTAATTACATCGTAAAAGAATCATACCTAATGCAGTCATGAAGTTATGAACGTCATAACAAATGTTTTTATAGCATCGTTTAATTTTCATTGGACGATAAGCAAAGATATGAATTATTTTTTGTGACATTAGTTTAACTATGTTGTGAGTTTAGTTTCTGACTACCAGCAAATGCATTATTATCTTAGAAGTCGATGAGTGAAGTTATGACTGGCTCAATTGCTATATCACGAACAGCGATGTGGCGAAATTGTTATTCACCACGAAACGAAGTTTGTATTTTTAGAACGTTCAGTCCATACATCAACTGCCAGTGTAAATCCAACTTTTATTTGAACCTAGCGACTTCGATATATGATCCAATAATAGCCACACTAAAAAAGGGAAATAAAAAAAAAAGAAAGCTAGAAGTCGTTGAAAAGTAACAAAAAAAAACGAAAATCCATAGGCAAACGATGGAAACGCATATCTGTTCGTTCAATGTTCGCGAGTGGAGCACTGTTGCGATACCGAATAACAAATATTTTGCACAGAATCCAATCGGATATCGAGCTGGTCCATCCTTATTTATTCAAAAACGATAACTCGTTGAGAATCGGTTTCCAAAAATTGTTTACAGCAATGTAAAGAGAATAAAAAAGCCACGAGATGTCGAGTTTCGTGATTTTATAACCGAACAGAGCGATAGGATCATCACAGAATGTATCATCACAGAACTGGGTTTGTTACATCGATTTTGATCCACTAGCTATCGGCTATCGCTGAAAATCCCTCGTCTCTGTATGAAACAATGTACGATACGTACGATTCAATCAATCCACGAAGTCCAAATACAGGTTTCTCTTCGTGTTTCGTTCGCGTACATTAATATGCATGTTGCTGAAGCGATTACATTGTATCCTTGTTATCACGTTTATGGAAATAGACTAGAAGAATTTACAAAAAAGATTTACTACCCAGCTATCTTCTATTCTGCACGATACCAGTGAAAGCTATTTTCTACAAAAGATTAGAAACGAATATTAGAGTATACGAGGAAACAGTGTATAACGATAATTAATGAAGCTATGTCGCGATAGCACCAGTAACTGATTACCTAGTAATGCTAGTCGACGTGCAATTAATACAACCAACCTCGGGAATACAAGACATTCATGCGTCGCGTAATTTAAGTTAAAACGTTTTCTGTTAATGAGATTTCCAGATGCCACGGGTAAAATTATGCCCGTTAAATCGCGCCAAATCGTCCTACGTATCCGTATCTACATGACCTAGAAAATACGTTTAATATGTATATGTAAAATAGTGATAATCCGCTTCCGTGATATCGTAAACGCTGCATTTCTATGCCAGTGTGAAAATCCAATAGTACATCTGAAGTGATATCTAAATAGTTTTAGCAAGTATGTTATACAGTTCGGCAGAAGTGTATAACATAATATGAAGGAAATATAATCGACAAGAGAAATAGAAAGATTGACAAAACTCAAACCGGAAAGAACGCTACAAAATGCTACAAAATGTAATACGGTGCAACAGAGAAACGGCCGCAACAAAGACGAGAACCAAAGGAACGAAACAATCAGCAAATACAGTAGTAATAAGAGTTAGCTATAAGAAGATGAAATTAATAAATGGTACTATTACGCCATTATCCAAATAGTTTAAAATAAAGAAATCCAAGTGGAATCTCACCATCGTCCATTATAGCTGTGGTAACGTTTTTTCCAGTAACACCCTGAGCCCAGGCTGCCTTCACGTTCAAGTCTAACTTCGCTTTGCCACCGTTTTGTCCAGTGTTCTTCAAGTACCATTGATATTGGAAGAACGGATCCGACGGATCTCTATTACCAGGATTCATTTGACTCATTTGGTACGGTGGCACGAGATTATCCACGCTGAGAGGTTTATAGCCTCTCTTCACCCTCTTGAATCCGGGCTGTTGCACCGCTGTGTGCACCTAAAACATTTATTCGAATCCACCCTTACACCAACGCGAGAACTCCGACTCCTCGAAAATGCCAAGTAGTTAATTTCTCTTTTACGAGCTTCGTCGAATGATTAATGGACGAGATCATAAATGGTCAGAATGGTCAACAGAAAAAGGGTAAAATAGCGATAAAATGGTAACGGGAACGTCAAATATTTCCCCTCGGTGGAAACAAAACGAGGAGGATAAACTACAGCAAGAGGAATGCGTCTAAAGACAGATTTCGCTCGTTTTCGTTTGACATTTTCCGTTCTACGACCTGAAGCAAACAATGGGAAAATAATGACTGTTTGGTTAGAGTTTCTCGCGTTCTCAGAATCGAGTAAAAGGGTCGGAAAACGGATATAGAACGATGGAAATTTATGAAAGTATAATAAAAAACGGAACGTTCTCTGCGAAGTGATCGATGACAATATCGCGGCCGCACTCCACGCGATCGAACAATCGTAATTTACCCGATCAATCTGTTCCCTTTCCAATTATACCCTCCATGTCGCTGGAAGTTACGTATTCATTTACATTTATATCGGTAGTCCGGACGAGGCTTTTCAAATCCACGTATCCTCCCACGAGCCAAAGAATACGTTCCTTTGGACTTTTCAAAGCGACCTCCCGTGAAAGCTATTATTCGAAATGCTACATTGATTTTTCTAAAAGACGATAACAATCTTTTATCGATGAAATTTACGGCGAACGGTTAAAGGGACGCTTTGAGAGTGAAATTTCAGCCTTGCGAATAATAAATGTGATATAACGATGGAACGAAAATTCTATGAGAAAAAAGAAACGATAAAAACCCGGCGTATTTCAAGGAATCACTTACCAACGGATCCACTTTCAACCTTCTCATGTGAGGTACAGATCTCTTGTTCCTTGCGTGTGGTAGGGCTTTATGAACGAAGTGATATTCCGTTTGGCTGCCCAATATCTACACAGACAGGAGAACAGCAATTTATATTCGCTGCCACTTCGTTTCGTGTCACTGGTACGTTGCCTCGATCCAATTCTTGCAAGATAACGGAAGACAATTTTTATTCGATTACGCGATGAACATTCATCGACACGTAATAAGAAAGCGGTTCCAGTTGTTCAATCGTATGATCATCTCTCGAAGAAATGGAAGCGACAAACAACTAGAGAAGAAACGGCGAGACAGTTGGTTGGTTAAAGATGACTTAGCAAGCTCGTTACCGTCTTTCCATCATCTTGGAAGGAACAAAAGGATTCTAAGTGGCCGGACGAAGTGAAATTCACCCGTTGCTTCGCAAAAATTGCTCGATATACCTTAATCCAGACCGGATGTGCGAGTAGGAGAATCCTTTCGAAACGTCGATTCGCTTAGGATATTGGAACACGTAGGTAAATAACGTGATCTGATCGAATTATGCGGAAGCGAGTTAACGTCGAACCATCGTTTCGACGATCCACTCGAGCCAATTACGGACAGATTAAGTCACCTCGGTTACGGTACGGTCTGTTATCGGATTCATAAATTATTTATCCCTCCCAATCGTTAATTCGTCTGTTTTAGCTGATTGGAAAGAGAAAACGGTGGGACACGGAGAGAGGAAGGAAGAAGGGGAATATAGGGAAATAAATAACGGAGAGAAGAATAGAGAAAAGAAGAAAGGGAGAACAGTAAAGAACAAAAATGTAGAAAGCAGAGAAGTATCTTTTCCTGTTGATTCCACGACTCAACGGCTTATACGTTATCTGAGCTTTTCGCAAAAATTAGCTATTAAAACGCTTTTTAAATTTGAAAGAATACTTATATGTTTTTTGATAAAACGCTTACGAAGAGAATAACTAATAGCCGATATCCTCTGAAATCGAGAAACTACACACGTTCGCTCCAATCCAATAATACCAGTTCTCACGGGACACGCGACACACCTTGCATTTAAATCACTCGTTTGCTAACAATTTTATCAGGATCGAGGAAGAATAAAGTAAAATTTCAATCGCATTTTAATCCTCCTATTTTACTATTAAAATAATCTTCGCTCATATACTCGAGAAATCCGATCGCTGTTCGATAATTCGATACAAAGAATTGCCGTGGCAAAGTTGAGAACTTTAACAAGAAGGAAAAGATTACAACGAGAGGCTAACACGTGGACGATATCGATGGAGGCCTACACGTGACCATATCACAGGATATCTCATTATTGATGATATTGGAATCCTCGTAGATATAGGTGTCTTGAGTCGACGCATCTTATTCCATTCCATATCCCATTCCCGATACACAGCCACCTTCCAATGCTACTTATTCGTGTACAAGCTCGATTCTAACTCATGGACTAGTGCAATTTTCTGTAAAAGCCATCGACGAATTTCTCTTCGCATGATACTAATGAAAAACTACAAACTACTTGGAAGCTTTAAAAAGTATCGTCTGAAAAGTTTCTTTCGTTTCATAAGGCGATAATAAATGAACAACAATTTCTGTTTTATATTATTTTATCGAATTAGGTATGATCCATTTTGTTATATTTCTATTATTACATATTCGTGCATAATTCAATAAACTAATATAAAAGAAAAAACATTGTGCGTCTATTATTCTCTTATAAAACGAAAGAAACTTTCCGGGCAACCTAATATTAGTTACTAAACACGTGTTGTTATGAAAAAAAAATTGTTCCTGTAATTTCCCATTCTTAGCGTTTGAGATCTACCTTTGACGATTTCGATGTTCTTCTAACGCACGACTATATTAAGAGAATAGAAAAAGGGGAAAAAGAACAGAGAAGAAGGATATTTCGAATCGTGATTGCTTTTGAAATCTAGCGTGAAATTTAGCTTTAAAAACTACAACAGCTACTGTAACGAATATTAACTGACACTCGAAATAAAATCCTGGTCGTGATAATTTAATACGATCCACGTTATGAAAATTCTTCGTTAATCGCGTTATACGAGTCATCTTCCATTTTCAAGCTTCAAAGAGATTCTTTCTTTTTTTTTTTCTTCCATTCAAACAGCGAAATCCCAGTTTTCTCTGAGGTACGAGGAAAGGAACAGACGAGGGACATATTTTTTTAACAGACTGGAAGAAATTAATGGGATGGAGAGATAGATGGAATGGCAGATCGATCGAGCAATAGACTCCGGTAGCTTTTTCGGTAAAAGGAAGGTGAACCGCGACGAAGAGAAACCAGGAACCGACAGTGTCTTATCATCCAGTTCTCGGCTCACGATATTCAATTTCCATGCGTGTGTCGCGTCATGGTTACCCTGCAGTCGTTTCCGATCAAAAATAACAACAGCGCGATCGATGCTCCGCGAAAGTCGATATCGAACCGAGCTACTTCGTTAATTACGCGGTTCCTCGGCAACTATCGACGCTTTACCGCCGTATGTAAATTTCCTTGAATATCGACGAGTGAAGATACAACGAAGCAACGTTGATTAACGATGCACTAACTTTCCGGTAGAATACTTGTCGCGAAGTTACTTACAACGTGAAAGCGTTGATTCGTATCGAAGAGGAGATCAAAGGCGATCGTCGCTCGATGCCACGAATTTGTAAGATAAATAACGCGGTAAATGGTAAGAAACTTCCGTATGTAAGTGCGATCACCAGCCGAGGCAATATCCAGACAAATCTGTTATCCGAGAAACGTGATGGTTGCCGCGAATTCCAATATCAGGAGGCGTGAATACGCGTAGGACGTCAACGAGAGGTCGGTGGAAAAGAATTTTCTCATTTTGACGCCGATTCTCGTGCATCGTTGCTTTTATCCTGAACTTTGTGAAACCATGTTTTCAATGAAACGGGTTATGATACTTTTATAAAAGAGGAGATTTAGGTAAGTCGCAACAACGAAAAGATAAATCGCCTCCTTTCAAACTCCGATGTTTCAGTGCGTAATACGAATTTGATCGTAACAAAGTTCTGTTTTTTCATATTCGTTTGAAACATTTTCGTACTCCTTTTCACTTTTTTTTCACAGACGATTCTATTTTGGATTTAAATTTGTTATCTCTTTGAAATTTATTGGGAATTTATTTCCATACAGAGTTTCTGGAAAAAAAAAGCAACTTCGTTTGAGTCCGCTCGTTGCAGATGGATAGGTTCAACACGTGCAGCACCGAGAGATTAGAATTCTATAGCGATGCAACGCCTTTGAAATCCTCAGTGACGATGAAGCTCTCTACGAACGTACAATGACGCTTCTAACGCTTTAATGGAGAAACATATTGCGTGCATCCCGGATTTTCGTCGACCCTATGTTATTTAATCAAGCTCCACTTTTGACGAAACAGAACCCGCCAGATGACCGATCAATCTGGGTGGACTTTATTTGGGTCAACGAATCTATCTGTTCCATTAACTGTCCTATTTTTACCATCGTAAAAGAATTAAAGCGCAATATTTCCGTAGATATATCTGTCAAATTTCTTTACATTACAACTATCCAACTTAATTTTCTACTTCTCTTATTCAATAAAAAAAATCTTAGATATATAATCGATGCAAAATACTTTCCAGCTTCCATGTAGATTTTCAGTCTTGTGTTAAAATATAATTAACAACAATCGAATCTCGCTACGATACTAATAAAATTTCAAAATGGTCTGTCTAATGCACGTGATATGTTGATAAAAAAAGTAAAACTTTAATACGTCGCTGTATTTATATCGCGTATTTAGATACGCTTTACAGATCGGTAATTTAGTGTTCGAAAGGATCGCCTATATTTTAATGCAGAAGAAAAGAAGGAAATAGAGGATAAAGCAGGATTCTGATAGAAATAGACGTTTTATCTCGAGACACATAGTACCATAATGTAGAACTAGTCGCCTCTTAATCGAGTTTAGCCTGGGCTACACGTGTCACGTAATCTAATTAGCAAACGTGCACCAAGTGCGTAACATCGAACACAACATTACGTTATTATACATACGTTCACCGGATAAACCTTTCCCTTCAGCCACGGCTATCGCATATAGATACGATTTATCGAGCCGACGCGACGTTGTATTGGAAGC